AGGAGATGTATATATGTAAATTATATGCTTAGGTCTTAATTGTAATTAGTCATACCCTAATCTCTTTCTAGTCTCTAACATCTGTATGTATAAATATGTGTAATACTCTCTTAATAAAATTAATATAACATTCATCATTTACACGATGTTCATTGGATAGAAGAGGCATTACAAGTCATGAAGATGAAAACGAGTTGAGAGAAGGCGAATCGGGTCGTTTTGCGGTCGATGGGAGTATTGGAGAGTCAAAAGTGGCCGTTTTTTTTATTTCGGAGCAGTACGCCTCGCTCCTTGGAAAGTCTCGTTAAGATTCTGGGATTGATTTGGGGTATGTTGATCGGTTCCAAATGTCTGGCCTTGTGGGGATGGATCGCAACATGAAAACCGTCTATGGATTGCTGGATTTTGGGAGGATGGACGAAGTTCGTTGGATCAACATTTTTGCAAAATATATGTATGACGAGATCTTGCACTATTTTCTGGATAGATGAGTCTCACCGCTACAGCTTCAGAGAATTGGATTTTAAACTTTCGAGATATAAGGCTAGGAACCAAAGACCAAGAGTTCTCCTTGTTGCCGAGAATGCAGTGAAACATGTATATGAAGTTAAGTGCCTGAGATTTGATGAAGCTTTTCAACTTTTCTATCAATTCGCGATGAAGCAGAAACCACCTTCAGATCGCTTTAAACAGCTATCAGTCCGTGCTATCAAGCTTGTCGGGTTTCTTCCTTTGGCCCTTAAAGTAACCGCCTCAATGTTATATGATAAAGAAGCAGACGATTGGGAAACTATATTGCAGAGTTTAGAAGAAAAGCAAGATAATAAAGGTAGTAAACTGGAAGTATCAGCTAAGTAGCATGGTGGAGCAGTCGAGCAGATGATCGAATACGAGTTTCCTTGCTCGCATCTTTGATGTGTAAGATTCTATTTCGCATAAGATTACTTCAAATGTATCTGAAAATGCCAGTTTTAGAGTTGGAAGCGTTCAGATTTGTGCGTCACTTATGTTATTTGACAATGCTATATTTACAGAACATGATGTTCAAAGATAGATTTGAGATGCCTCTGTTTTCGGTAGAGAATACAATATTTCTTGATGATTTGAAAGTATTCCCCCTCTTGTTAGTAAAAGATTAAGTATTATCGAAATTAAATCTGTTTGATCTCATCAAGAAATATTGAATTCTCTACAAAGTAAAAAGTCAGTACTATTTTACTCAAATCCTCTACGTTATCTATGTCAGCTCATAATTAAATCATAGTTTCTCAATGTATTTCTAAACATTTTCTCGGAAATTTGTGAGTATTATTTTTTTCTCCTTTTTGATATAATGCGATCCTCAAGTCATTTATCATCTTAAAAAGTTTGAAAGTAAAACTGATGTTTAATTTTTGCTCGAATCAAATGTATTCATCGTCTTCTTCAACTAATCCCCAAAAGTTAGATGTTTTTCTGAGTTTCAGAGGCAAAGACACTCGCAGGACCTTCATTAGCTTTTTCTACAAAGAACTCATTCGCATGAATATTCGAACTGAAGAGTGGACGCCGGATTTTTTCTCCTTGTCCCAATCGAGGATTTCAAAATCGCCGTCGTGGTTGTCTCTAAGAACCATCCTGCGTCTCCTTGGTGTCTCCAAGAGCTTGTGAAGATCATGGACGTTGAGAAAAAGGGTTCACTCGTCGTTAGGTAAGCCCATTGTTCTTAGGAAGATGTGGCTTAGAATCAGGATTTGTTTGTGTACAAAGAAGTAAGTAAATGTCCACCATTGATCCAATAACAATGCATGTACAAAGCCACGAACAGCTCTGTTTATTTTTTTTTTGTCTTTGAGCTTCTCTGTCCTGAAATAAAGAATAATAGGGTA